TGGGTTGCTGACCGAGCTGATCACAATGGACTTAAAGAACAGCAAGCAACTATTTTCTTTTGAACAGGGTAGATGCAACAGGTTTATAATTGTTCTGTAGAAAAATTGCTGCATTGTGCGTTCATGCTTGTAATGAGAGAAAATGAGCAGATAACAATGAAATAAGGAAGGAATATGTACAACAAAGAAGGTTTTGTCGGACTTTGACACTACGCTCATCAGTGAACAGATCCTACCAGTCTGAATGCCAATAGGTACAGAATGTATGCCACATGTACTAGGTATGAAACACAGGGAAACAAAGAACTATTCAAATCTTTAAAAATTAAGACCCACGTCTAAGGTGATATGATACTGTTTTTGTGTCGTCTTCTCAGTATTATAGAGCTGTCACTTTACCTACAATTTGGAGCTATATGATTGCTCATGTCATGATTATAGAGCTTGTTGTGCAATTGAAGTAGATACCTGCTTGGGAATGTCAACTTGGCTGCCGTGGAGACTGTTTTGCTCTCTTGTCGTTATTTTGTCTTTTTCTTTGCTCAGTGCTTCTCTATGCTTTGACCGCATCGTATTTTGCGGGAGTCATGGTTCGGCTGATCCTTACCCTGACGCCAATAGTGTGCGTGGTGGCAGCCATCACCTTCTCACGTACCGCCAATCTGTACCTCGCCGAGACCCTGGACTCGCCAATCCCGGAGAGTGAAATGTGGTTCCTCGATCCGGAGGACCGCGAAAAGATTCTAGTAAGCAGCGCGGTCTTGTTGTGCCGTGTGGTCAGCTCTGCTGTTGGTAGTGATAGTGATGTTGCCATGCTGCTCTTGTGGATGTCTTTTATCTTTGTTGTTGTGCCATCATTTCATGGTTATGGCTGTAGTGTGTGTTCGACACTTGTTCTCTTGTGTTTGCTGCTGCTGGTTTTAAAAGGTTTTTTAGTTTTGTATTTGATTGCGTACCTAAGCCATAGCCTGTTATGTATTCGTATGCCTTCTGATTGGCAGGAAAGGGAGACAGCTGCTGCTGCATCAACCAACTCAGATCAACGCACGTCAGCGTCCACCCAAGCCTCATCATCGTCAGATTCTTCGTCCGCGTCCTCTTCTCCGTCCCCATCACCAGTGCCCGCAGCATCAGCAGAGGCACCAGCAGCTGGCCGTGCCTCCAGGGAGTCGCGTCCCGGAGCGACGGCGACAGCGGCGGCGTCAGGACAAGCTCGCCCTGCCGGTGCTGACGATATGGCCATGCAGCTGCCGCGTAACCTGGTGCTAGGTCTGATGATGCTGCTCCTCTTGTTCTTTGCCGTGCACTGTATCTGGGTGACTGGTAATCACTACAGCAGCCCGTCGGTTGTACTCGAGTCATGGAATAGAGACGGGTAAGGACATACTAACAATAAGCCTCCAGCCTCTTGCTATTCTTTTGTTCCCGTTAGTTTTCAGGAAAGGAGTGAATGGACGTTTTTTTCTATTTTGCTTGACCCGGTCACCCGTGTTGCATGAAGTAGGGTACACTGATAGTGTAGTGTTTATTTAGTTACTTCATACGTGTGTGGTCACCGCCCTATGCCAGTATACGGTCACCTCGCGAATAACAACCTCGGGCGTAACAACAACTCGCGAATACAAACACAATCTGGAGATCTAGTGACCATTTGACCGTGTACGTTCTGCCTCACGGACAACGACACATCATGAAAAACGACACTTTTCTCGTGTGCGGTCAAGAGTTGTTATTGGCAGGGTCGGCTGTATATCTTGGTAGAGGATCCCTGTTTGCAATGCAGTACATGTACTTGTATCTGAACTCTTTCTCGTGTTTTGCTTCTGTGGACAGAACGCGAAATATTCTCGACGACTTCCGCGAGGCATACTACTGGCTGCGTCAGAATACGCACCCGCAATCCCGGTATGTCTGTGCTCTGTATTGGGGCTTTGTGACGGTTTACTTGCATGCTGTCAGTGTGCTGTGCTGTGCTGTGTGGTCTTTTTAATGCGGTGATACAGTCACGCGTCGCTTATCTGGTCCTCTTTTATCCGGATCCCTCGCCATCCGGAGGAAAATAGCTGGTTACAGATGTACAGCATACGTGATGCATCCAACATAGCCGGTGTTTGGTTATCCGGCTCCCTCGCCTATCCGGATATTTTTGTGGAAAACGGATGTGTGCGGTTAAGCGAGGTCTGACTGTACTTGTAAGTTGTTGGCTGGTTTTCTTGCGCTCATCATGACCTATTGTGTGTTGTGTTGTGCTGTGTTGTTGGTGAACTGTGCAGAGTGATGGCGTGGTGGGATTATGGCTATCAGATAGCAGGCTTTGCTAAGCGCACCACCATTGTGGATAACAACACTTGGAACAATAGTCACATTGCACTGGTGAGGGTTGTGTGTGTGTGTGTGTGTCACTGTGTGTGTGTGTGTGTGTCACTGTGTGTGTGTGTGTGTGTGTGTGTGTGTGTGTCACTGTGTGTGTGTGTGTGTGTCACTGTGTGTGTGTGTGTGTCACTGTGTGTGTGTGTGTGTGTGTCACTGTGTGTGTGTGTGTGTGTGTGTCACTGTGTGTGTGTGTGTGTGTGTGTGTGTGTGTGTGTCTTCGTGTACGTGTACGTTCATACAAGTCGCGCATGTACACATGTACATATGTGTGTGTGTGTTAACCCTTTATTACCGGCCTGCAGACTTTCGATCATATATAATCGAAAGTCTGCAGGCCAGTAATATCTTCGTAACTCCATCATTTCTTGTGCGAATTCAACAATCGAAAGGTCTATTTGGTAGCGGAAACTCCAAGCTATCCAATGCAACAATCGCCGAAGAGTTACGATATTGGACGCCAGAGATATCGCGCGCCGTGTTCTCACCTCGGCAAATTCAAATTTTTGATCGATCACTTCGCCATTTTGGGGGAAAATCTCCTTTCGTGTGCTCTTTGAGCCACTAAGCACATGATAATGACGTAGCCGGCTGAAGTTTGAATCGTCTCAAACAAATTTGAGCGTTCTACGATGAAGGAGAGTGGAATGGCGTTGATGGACGAATTTGCTTGCATATCAGGCTTGGAGACGACTTTGCCGTGTTACCGCGCCTGGTTTTTGGCGACTGGATAATGGAGCTTGGTACCCTGGCGTTGGTCTCGCCGAGAGCTTTCCAACGAGCCCTAGATTGTGAAAATCAAGTGAAGGAGACCAAAGTTATGACCTGGTGAAGTTGGAAATTGTGCTGAAATTCGTAATTCTGGTGCATGCTGTGCAAGTAATCCGGTAATAAAGGGTTAATATGTTTGGAAGGAAGAGTTATCCACGCTCTGCTCTTCCACTTACATACTGTTTTCAAACTTGACTGTGACTGAATCACTAGAGACTAAGAGTGAACCTTATATGCCAGGGAGCACTTATTTGCACTCAGGGGCGGATCCAGAGATCTCTACAGGGGGGTTCCGGTTGAGCCAAAATTGAACAGCCAAAATATTATGGAATCAGATGTGCGGTTGTAAAATAACGACAATCCGATTGTGTTAGTGGAATCGCATGCTTTTAAAACACACTACGGACATAATAATATTTTTCCATCATCGACCACGCCACAACTGCGCTCTCCAGCCGGCCTCGACACGTTGCCACAGCACACCACCATCGCTGGAGACTGAGTCGGAGCGCAGTTGTGGTGTGGTGGACGATGGAAAACCTGTGTACAGGGCCAAATGCTGTTGCTTACCCTACATTGTAAATTTTACTACCAACACATAATCATATACATGTATGCACTCGACTGGCACACAGGTTCAGTGAGGGCTTGAAGACCCTTTCAACTTCTTGTAAAGATCGAATAATTATGCAAGCCATGGGTACGTTGAGAGCCAGGAATGCCGAAATGACAACTAAGTTACTTTCCCTGTCCATTTGTACTTTCGGAAATTTTTGGCATTTTTACGATGCGAAATGCTCTATAGTCACAGGACAAGAGCATCGTCTTCACTTCAGTGACAGAAACAACAACAGCGAAACAGTGTCGACGGGGTACAATCCTTTCAATGTCATCTAAAACACATCGCTGGCGCAGCACTCCGTTCCTGCGGAGTAACAACTAGTCACTACTGCATGCTGCAGCAGGTATAGATTACTGACTTTGCTTGGATGTCGGAGCCCTCATCTTCTGAGGAGCTTGAACTCTACGTGTACGGTTCGAAGTTCGTTGAAGAGTGTCAGTACTCGGAACATCCTTTCTCTTCTGCAAAAAACTTGTCCAAGGAATACTGACCACACCACACCCATCCTGAGCAGCAGTGAATGACAGCGCCGATGGAGGTAAGTAACTAGTTTGGATCGTTTCGAAAGATCAAAAAGGAAACAACCACCCAATGTTGTCTGCAGTGTCCGTTTGTAAATCACGGACGTGAACACCAGTACAGACGACTACTAAGTCCTGAGGTGCTAAAATTAGAGCCAAAGTACTAATATCCGTACAGTATCGATCTACCGCGTGCACGCGCATGTGTTAGCTGCTCCCGGCTAATGATAAATACACCACATGCAGTGCACTGCCTGACAGTCTGTGCTCCTTGACCATGTTGACTCAGTGACTGCACTGACTGTCTGTGATCGGACGGACGTCCTTTTGTGCACACATGATATTTTTCGATATTTCTCAGCTGCACACTTTGCAAAATTTAGGGGGTTCCATGGAACCCCCGGAACCCCCCCCTGGATCCGCCACTGGCACTAGTGGTACTTGTACTGCTAACACAGCATTACCTTGAATGACAGGTCTCAGCCCTCCATGTGAGTGCAGACAGGTCAACGCTCCAGAACCTTTCTACACACAAGGTCCAGAGGAAGAAAACTTTGTGCGAAGCACGAAACTTGAGTCGAGGCGAATTTCTTCTGCTTGACCTTGTGTGTACTGCTAGCATACTGACACCTAGATGACTGTATGTTCTGTCCAGGTGGGCAAAGCAATGTCAAGTAATGAGGACTCAGCGTATGAACTTCTCCGTATGTTAGATGTGGATTATGTGTTGGTGATATTCGGGGGTGTGATTGGCTATGGCGGTGATGACATTAATAAGTTTCTCTGGATGGTCAGAATAGCTCAGGGAGAGCATCCGGAGGACATCAAGGTTAGTGTTTACATGTCTCTTACTCCGTGTGAGTGTGTGTGTGTGTCCACCCAGAGTTTTGGGGATTTCAGGGGGTGTCGGCCGTTGGGCGGTTCAATAGCCAATTGAGTCATCTTTCCAAGTTTCCTTTTGAGTCTCTCTCTCCCCTCTCCTGGAGAGATCCACGTGACCAGTTTTGGAAGTGAGGAACAATTACAAGTGTGTGTGTGTGCGTGTGCGTGTAACTTATGCTTGTGTGTGCGTTTGTTTGATATCCTGTTCGCATTGTCAATGCTAGTCTCTTTGCTTCTGATCTTTCGCTAAGAGAAACACAACAAATGACGATTACTAGTAGCTTTGAAACCTTCAATACAAAACATGTAGCTACAGCAATTGACCTTCTAACCTGTTGTTTTTCTGCATTCCCTCTCACCTGCCCTGAAGGAGTCCAACTATTTCAACACTAAGGGAGAGTACCGTATCGACTCCACAGTGTCCGATACAATGAAGTCTTCGCTCATGTACAAACTCTCATATCATGAGTTTGGCCAGTTGCAGGTACGATACGTTGTGTTTATTCGCGTATGCTGTGCACTGTGCTATGAATGCAGATACCATACCCTGCTGTGCGATGCTGTCACAGTGGCACTGACCCTGTGTGTCGGTGTGTGGGGGGGGGGGGGGGAGGGGTGGCAACCCCATTAGAATATCATACAGCCATGTTCAAGAGCCAGGGATAATAGTACTGCTCTACACTCCTGTGTGCGAGGGTGAATTTTGAGGTGTGGAACAACTACAGTCAGGTGCGTGCGCCGGTGCCGTTAAAGGGGGGATTCCGGGGGGCCTCCCCGGGAAAATTTTCAAAAAAATGAAGCAAAATCCTGCATTTTGAGCGAAAAGGGGGGGGGGGTTCCGGGCACCCAGGAACCCATACGGGTCACGCGCCTGACACTGTTACTCGATGAAATACAATCACATGAGGCGAGTTTGCGCCCTGCACCAGTTCACCATCCCAGTGTTTGCAGGTCTAGGGCTGTGCAGACCCCTGCGTGGCACTGGCTCATTTGATGAGATTTCATTGAGTGGCAGCAGCACTGTACCGTAATAACACCAGGTTCACATAGTTTAATGTACAGTGTGCGGTATCGCACTATTTGCATAATTATGCAAGGTACCGGTACACTAGCAACTCAAGCACATGCGCTATGTGTGAGACAAAATGACCCGCAAAAAATAGCGAATAACGCAAAAACTCATTCATAAGCTTTATGTGCGTCACTACGCTACACGGCCGTTTCGAGTGCGACATGAGGCAAAATGGCGTCGATTTTTTTGCACTGCACGCCCTGTATGCATGCGCGTACTGTACGTCAGAATCCCATGGTAACATGTATGCGCGGAGTAGCATGGCTAAGCGATCGTACTTTCGAACAGGAATTTTTCAAAATCCATCGAGTGAGAAGATGAAGTTTGAAGGAATTGTTTTATTCTCTCCTGATAATAGTCGGCCCTGTTCGGTGTACCTGTGTTGTCTGGCCTCGCGCCTCGTCTTGCAGGCCAGCTGTGAACAATTTGTGAGATCGAACTGATGCCGAATCAATGAGAGATGCGGTGAAATCGCCAACTGTGAATCTGATTTGAATAAAATAATAACGATAGAGAAAGATAATGGATACATTACCTGTAGCTGTTCTCCTTTGCTGACGATTACAGGTGCTCCAGTTCGTTGTTAGTTTTCTGCTCTTTACTCACGAGCAAGCTGGAGGCAGTTTGTTTACTTGAATTGACACCAACTCACCCACCAACCACCCGCGATCAACGCACTACACTGAAAATTGAACTGAGCAAACAAAGTATGTCAGGACTGTTCCTTTCTACTTCGTTTGCGAGGAGCTGGGACCAGAGGTCGTAAACTAGGGAGAGCTGCGATAAGGTGCTGCTGGACGGTGACTCGAAGCCTTTGTAGAGGATCTACAACGCCACCATGACGGAGAAGAAGGGTGTTGAATTCTTTGTGAATCGATTCTGCCCCATGCTCAGCAAGCAACCCAAGACCTACTTTGAACTGCCGCATGACGGGAACTACATGACACTCCGAAAGGTGCAGCTTTGGAGTAACCCGGCCAAGGCTACGAGGAACAATCTCCCTACGAACTGAAGCCATAAACAATATTGCTCTGCAGCTGGTCGCAAACTTCTATTGAGACTGCAGAAGTTCCGGAAAATGCGACGTGACACTTTGCGTACTGTTGGAACAACAGCTTGGATCTGCTGGATACAGCTGAAGCATCCGCAGCCAGAGAGGGTGCACGCTCCTCCACAACTGCAAGGAATGAGGTCAAGTCAGTGATGACGGAGTCTGTAAGAGCGTGGTGGACATGGTTGCCAATAAATGAACCCCCATGATACACTTGGCGGCAGATGTTGTGCTTTTGTAAAGCAGCCTCAACGTACTGGTTGCAAGGCCCGTTGTCGAGCTTTGCCTTTGTGAGGGTCTGCTCGTGTTTGCTGATGTCACCCTGCAGAGCTGTGACCTGCTGCTGCATTTGCGTGGCAGCATGCTGGAGGTTACGAACCAAAGCCTGGAGGTTGTTTTGCTGCTCCGGATTGCCAAAATGGAGAGCAACTGGCCAGTCAAGACAGCAAGCTGACTGGATTTTTCTTCCGGTTCTAACTTTTTTTACATTCTTTCTGATCTTCTATCAGCTTTTTAAAGGCAGCTGAATCTGCCTCACTCACCTCTACCTCGCATGCCATTTTCAAATCAATGCGTCTACACTCCTTGACAAAGGAGTCAAAGACCCATAAATAGATTCCGAGATCAAGATGTAGGGCTGGCAGGCACACATGATCAATAGGCACAGAGAGCATCGCAGGACGTGTGGCATTGTAGAAATGCTTCGCTTTAGATAAGCGCCCGCCATCAGCCATAAATTGGCCATGGTGAAGTGAGAGTGTGTCGAGCGTGCGTGGCTCTGGCTGCTGCTCCCAATCAGCGGGGCACTGTTGAATCTGTTGCTTTGTACTCAAGCAGTGCAGACACGGATGCACTCCTGCCAATCCTGACAGGCCATAAACAGTTGTTTGAAACTCGTAGTCGCCAAACAAGACAAGGCGAAACGACTTGTTCTGCCATGTTCTGCCATGTGGTTGCAGCAAGGCTGTCATTGTGTTGCACAAGTGACGCGAAAGCAGTGGAAATGTTGCCCGGGGTATCTTTTGCATTGAGCACAAGGATAGGGATGGTGTTCTCCACAGCATTTGGGTGAGGGATGTTGCAAATTTAGAACGATAATTTAAAAGATCCGCCCCCATGATCTCCCCCCCCAACTTCACCCAAATCTCATCCGGCGGGATAACACCATGGTCGGTAAGCATGCCAGCCTCCTCGTACTGGTCCAAGAAGAAAAGGACAATCTCTGTGAGGTTGCATGCCACAACCATTGGTGATGAAACTACATCACCACTCGGAAGAGTGAACGGGCACATTTCGGAAGCAAGCATAGTATTCTCTGTCTCAATCTCACATCCAAAGGACTTGAGCCACCTCCGCAGTTTCCTCATTTGGTTCCAAGGCATGTGCAGATCTGCTTTTAAAGCAAGGGCAGAATGAGATGAAGGTGCACAAGGAGCCACACCAGCAGATTTAAGCAACTTTTCAAGGTCTATCTGACCCATACTACGTAGCTCATAGGCATCTTGCTTACCGACACCAGCAGTGCCCCCACAGACTACCTCTTTCGCCTGTCGGATTTCTGCCGACCTCCTCTGCATCTGCCTTACAGACACAGCATCACTGCCACCTTGTGTTGTACGTACATACAAAGCAGGGGTACCACCCGTCCGTAACTCTAGCCTACCATCAGTGGACTTTGACTGTACCAAGTGGGTAGTCGAATGCTCCGCTGCCTCCCCACAAAGCTTGCTGGGTGACGCTGTCAATACATCTGCGACAGTACTCAGCCTGGTCACACATCAAGGACCACTGTATGTATTGAAAGGACAGACCTTCGCATGCGTCTGTAATGAGAACAGTGTCATGCTGTGCTAGCAGCCAGAGAGAGAGAGGACACGTAATTGTCACACCTCACTCGCAGATGAGAAAGACATTCCAGCTCAGATGATGACAACTTTCTCATTCCAGATGCATACATGTCAGCAAGAGTACATAACCCCCCCCCCCCCAGAGTGTGCAACTCTCACATACCCTGCTGTCCCGACAGAATTTCAAGTTGATGTCATTATTTATGACGCAATGCTCCTTGCACCAGTGATTTACAACATGTGTGCGGGTGTCAACGCATCACACGTTTTTCTTTGCAATAATTTGTACAGAATCAGATGGGCTTTGGTCCACCACAGGTTCCGGATTCGTCTGATAATCCGTGTGCAGTGCGCATTGCATCATAAAAATGACGTCAACTTGAAATTCTGTCGGGACAGCACCCATAGTCGAGTTGCTCACTCTTGGGGGGGGGGGGGTGTTATGTACTCTTGATGTCAGACATGCAAGAAGGACAGGTACGCGTAGTGCTGAGGTGTAACGTGGATGTATGTGTGCCTCATCCTTGGTGACATCACACTCAAAGACATGTTGTATCCCAACGGAGCATTCGTGAGCTTCGTGCTTGTTTTTTTTGGCATGCGACGAGAATCTCTCCCCACCAATTCTGCACTCAGCTGAAAGGTACTGCACATGTTGATCCATGTTCAATGCTAAGTTGGCATCACAAAAGTGCCTTGGTCTAAGGCAAAGTACGTCGGTCCAGCAAGATTTGTGCAGAATTGGAACCTAGACAGGCAAGGTAAGCACAGAAAACTAAAAACTAACCCAGGAAAACAGGACGAAGAGCAGCAGCAGCCTTTGGAAAACGACCTCGGGTGAACCCAGCTCCTACTCTACGACTTCAAAACAAACAAACTCTCAACAGTCAACACTGGAAACGGCTCCAACAGGAAAACGAAACGGAGAAAGAAGATCGTTCGAACGATCGAGTTGTCAGCTTTTTCTCTTGCACCCGCTGCACCGGGACCGGGTGTTGTGAGTGGTGTGTGAGCGACGTGGCGAGGCAATATCGATGGGTTTGAGACATGGGTGAGAATCGCGAAATTGAGGCTCTCAGCGAAAAATTTGAAAATTTTGAAGAAAAAAAATGCCGTTCATTGAGCTGGACTCGAACCCGGGGCCCCATGTCGCTTTTTCGCGAGTTTGGAACAGCCGTGGGTAGTTGTATGATCAGTGGATTGTACTTGTGTGTACTGTTGTAGACCCTGGCCGACCAACCAGACGGTTTTGACCGCACTCGTGGCACGGAAATTGGACTGAAGGATGTTGATTTAACACATCTGGAAGAGGCATACACATCAGAGCATTGGCTTGTCAGAATCTACAGGTAAGCGAGTCCGTGCTACCTGCAGATACTACGTGTATTCCATGCCGGTGATGGAACCAGGGGAAAGTGGTGTGCTGATGTGTGCACATGTTGTGGATGCAGGGTGGTGTGGGTGGGGGTGTATGCGTGTGTGGGTGTGTGGGTGTGTGTGCGCGTGTTTGTGTACGTGTACACGTCTACCCTGTTTATCCAAATGCCTTATCCTGATGCACATGCATGTGCATGTACGTATATTTCCTCCAGTCGCTAGCAATATGAAGCCGCATTGAAATAGAAACTACATTCGACCATCGCTATTTGGCTGAGAGGTCGATAATCATCGGAGCAAAACTTTGAAAGCATTCGCTGAAGACCATTCTGATCACCCGGGGTAGGGCTACTTTGGAGTAGACATGCATCTTTGCCATCGTGAGCTGTACGATGGGTTGGCGGTGTTTTCATTCCAATCTGGTGATGTTGTCGCTGCTTGCTACACAGAGTCAAGGATCTAGTGAACAGAGAGAAGAGCGTACTAGGTAGACGCTCAACTAAGATCAAGAAGAAGATGGTCTACAAGTCATTGAAGGTAGGAGAAACGGAGGATGTACAAGTCAAATTGGTGTATGGTGTAAAATTTACTTTGGTATATTCTTCTTCCATGTATTTGGGGCTCCCGCATGCTAGTTTGTACGTGGAGTGTGTTGGTTACAGTGAGGGCTGTGTCACACCCGCCTGTGTGGACTCACAGGAAGCGTGAGTTACGAAGTCTGAACAAAATGTTGGACAGTCGCTGCTGAGATGACGGCTACACCAGATCTTAGTGGCAGAGCATCGCTGGCCGTATGCCAGAGTCCTTGGTCCTAGTCCTGGAGGTGACAGTCAATTTTTCTATTAGATGTTTCCCGTTTTCAACTCCCTCCAACTTATGAATATCTTCTTCCTTGCTACTTTTTTTGCATAATTTATGTATGTGTGCAGACTGAAGGACGTCTGCGAGGCTACCTGAAGAACAAGCAGCGTGTTGTGCGAGGGAAGGGCCGCAAGAGACCGACTCCTCAGTCGGCCGAGTCGAGTGCCGGCGTCAGCTGAGTGTAGCACGACCATCGCCTGCACTTGCGGTTTGACTTCTTCGCGCCTCCCTGCTCTCGGTTGGTGGTCGCTGCTTGCACCTACGGCGGTAGCAGTCTTCAATGAGCGTAATGGTTATGACTTGTAGCAGTAACCCATGGTAAGGTGCAAGACCTATAGCTGAGCGTCCATGGCCTTGCTGTGCCATCTGCGATGCTCTCTCTCCATGGCCTCTCATCATCGACCACCCTTGCTATTTTCTCCAGAACTGACCAAGCGGACCTGGCGTGGCCCACGCTTGTTTTTATTGCCTGACAAGTTCCCGCGTTTGATCCTCGCCACTGACTGATCGAGGCCGTCCTTCTGTTCATGATCTGATCTCCTCTGATCGAGAAAAAGCTTTAGGTGTATTTTTTATTTCTATTTTGCAATCCTGTTTTGTTTTGTTTAGCAAGCCGGGGGATTCTTTTAGCCTGGCTAACAACTCTGTATGTGTCATCCACACACAGGTGTACTTCTCACGGGAACGTTTGGTGAACGTGAAAGCCATTTGTGACGATTTCCATATCCTGTGTGGAAATGACGTCTGTTGTCTCCCGTGATGGTAGATTGTTGTATTGTTGTTGTTGTTTGAAATATTTTATTCTCACGATGGCCTGTGGCCAAGAAGAGCAGAAGAAATACAGGCACCGGGATTGGAAAAGAGAAATCAAAATTTAACTGAGTGCTCTGCTAAAATAGTAACGATGCTATAATATTATCACACTGAGTGGGCACAATGGGGCTATAGATGTGCTGAGCAATGTGAGTGGGTACAGTGGGGCTATAGATGTGCTGAGCAATGTGAGTGGGTACAGTGGGGCTATAGATATGCTGAGCAATGTGAGTGGGTACAGTGGGGCTATAGATATGCTGAGCAATGTGAGTGGGTACAGTGGGACTATAGATATGCTGAGCAATGTGAGCAGGTACACACTGAAGAGATGACAAGAGGTAGCCTCAGGTAGGATGTTTGCTTGTTGTTGTTTCGAATCTTTATTCTCGCGATACCCAGTGCCGATGAGAGATAAAAGTGTGAGAGAGGAGAAATAGCGAGGAAGAATGGGGGGGGGGGGCAGGATTAATGACTAGATCTAGAACAGCAGGGATATCTGGGATTTGAAGAGAGTGCGTTGTTTGAAATCTTTTATTCTCACGATGGCCTGTGGCCAATATTAAAGAGAAAGTTGTTGTTGATTTTATTTTGATTCGCTGCCCAAAACGGACAAATATATCCAATAACAATGAGGCGAATAAGGAGACTGTCATGTGTGTTGGTCTCCTGTGTGGAATTATGTCAGGTCTTAGATATCTAAACTGCACTTTCCGGAGAGCTAGCTGTTTCCACCTGGTTAAATCTCCCCGGTGGAGATCAGGGTAAGACTCGTAACCATGGCAAAGATGAACATCTACGGAGCAAGAAAACATTAAATTTTGTTTAGAGCATGGATCCCCCTACACGTACACATGTGTATGCATGTGTAGGGCTCCCGGGTAAGAGCAGAATACCGGTTTGAAAGTGTACCAACTGTGAGCAGTGCGGCAAGCTTTGCACTGCATTTGCAAGGCAGATAGCAAGAGAACATAAACCAGCATACGATGTGTACTGGGGCTGCTATCGGTGACTAGGACATAGCAGCACCTGAAGAGGTAAGGATGTTTTCTCCCTACCTCCATCGTACACTGAACTAGGTAAGGCGAACAACTGCCTTGAACTAAGCTGCGGACATGGTATGGTGTTCAAAGAGCGTATTGAACTGCTTGTGCTTTCGACTTGTCATCATCTTGTTTAGCCAGTGGCAGTGCAGAGGTTTACCAAGGCCGGAATGACGATCTCCTCAGACTGCCCGAAGCATTATCCCCATCCGCTTGGCCGCATGGGCGTACATGTACATGTTTGTGCCGCCCGCACTCCTGCCAGTCCTGGAGGCTGGAGTGCCAGTACGAGTCGTCGCCCACTGTGACTGTCTTATGGGATAAGGCAAGCACTAAGACTTTCCTTCTTGATTGCAACCAGGGAGTCATCAAATTGATATTGCCTGTGCAGTGTACAGTGTACTTGGCTGCTCCTTGGCCCGGTGTATGAGGCCGCTTGCAAACTCAGCTTCGCTTGGGAGTGGTACAATGCGTGGCACCACTCCGGACCTCCCGGCCCCTCACCATACTGTACATGATACACGCTTGCACACAGTCCTAGGCTCCTATTGCACGTACATTAGCAGTGCCCAAGGACCAGCCTTCTGGAACGTAGTGATGATGCACGCTGTAGCTGCCTATCTATGCCTCTCTCTTTCTGTCAGTCTGTGTGTGTGTGTGTGTGTGTGTGTGTGTGTGTGTGTGTGTGTGTGTGTGCGTCTCTCTCTCTCTCTCTCTCTCTCTCTCTCTCTCTCTCTCTCTCTCTCTCTCTCTCTCTCTCTCTCTCTCTCTCTCTCTCCCCGGTTTGGTAAAAACCAGCATATCACCGGTATGTAGCAGGGCCCCCTGGTTCTGTCCCGTCTCCGACATATCTCTTGCCCTCACCTTATTCTCTTCTCGTAGTGAAACGCACAACTTGGAGAGCTTGTCACGCCCTACACTGTGAACAATGTGTGATGTTTGCCCTGGCATGTGGCGTGAAACTCGGTGTTACATCAAAGTGTACCTCATTCCATTTTGTCCGGAGTGTGGACAGTTTCTTGCCTCGCAACTTAAAATCCCATGGCCATGTACTAAATGTATGGCTCATGATTGGCTTGGGGTTTTTGCCACGTACAGTTGTGTGGTTTGCTGCATGCCAGACTTGCCAGTAGTACAACACACAGTCACTGCACATGCATTTGCCTCCTGGGAAGGACCTGCGTGGGCGTTTCGCGTTGGCGCTGAGTGATGCGTTTCAGCGCCATTCACGGCAATAGCTAGCGCGTCAGCTGACAGCTAGTGCTAGACGTAATGTAGGTGAGAGACGAGAAGCTGCGTATCACCCTGCGGAAACAAGAGAAGGGTTATGCAGCCTCTCTGGTTTTCTCTTTGAATCGTAATCAGTGTGCGGATGTCTTGGAAGAAGTGCCAGGGCCCGAGGCAAGCAGAGAGGTGTCTTTCAGTGTCATCTTCCACGGGACGTGATCTCTTCTCACTCGAGGTGGAGGCAGTATTCGCTGAATGACATCGGACGGTCACGAAATTCTTCGGGCTTTAACCGCAGCGTGGCGTAGACTGGTCAATTGCCAGCAACAATTGTTCACATGGTAACTGCACCGGCGCTCGCACTCGCTGGCAGGCCAATGATGCGGTCCCCAGTAGTAGTATACAGGCAGAATCCTGATACCTGATAGTGTAAACCCAAAATTGCCGGAGGAAAACTTCTACAGCTGTATGGAACAAGGACACGATCATACACTACACCTACAGGCAGCATGTTTTTTGAGATGGAGCTGGAAAATGGAAAGTGCTACCAGTCAGTGTACCACAACAGACATGGCGGGTCGACCAATCATCCTTTATGGGCGCCCTTTAAGGATGGGGCTTGAGACCGGGTAATACAGCTTTGTACACACACACTTGTACTTGTACTTGCTCACTACCAAAACTGGTCACGTGGGTCTCCCCCGGGAGAGGGGAGAGAGACTCAAAAGGAATCTTGGAAAGATGACTCAATTGGCTATTGAACCGCCCAACACATACACACACACAGACATACACACGCACACGCACACACACACACACACACACACATACACACACACACACACACACATACACTGGCTTGCCCTGGTACGACTGGATGCTTTTACGCGTTAGCGACGCTTCCCACTGTTAAAGATCAGACTTGATTTGCCTCATTCACTGGCCGAAGAGGAACTCTTTTGCTCAGGAAGCAATCATTCTGAACAATACTCGAACGGAGGCCAAATGATCAGGTTTGTTGGCCTTCTTGCGTTTAGCCCGGTACCTCTCGTATACAGGATCACGAACGTTCTATTGTGTGTGTATTTGGGCCTAAATGACTTTACCATTATTATTCCCTTCCTCCCTCGGTCTCTCTCTCTCTCTCTCTCTTTCGCTCGTCCACATGTATAAAAGGAGGCGAAATCCCCTGTTTCAGGTGCGACCTTATTAAATATACGTACTGGTAATACACTGCAACAACAGGGAGTTGTATAGGTTACAACTCCCTGTTCAACACCATACGAGCTCGTACTCTGTTGTGTTTTTCGTCATCGCAATCATGTGACGACGACACGTTGCAGTTTTGCATACACACTTCGACACAGTACGTTGTATTCCATTTCCTTGAGGGAGACGAAAGATAGCATGAGGGCCAATTGGCTCCTGAGACCATGAATCGAGGCGTCAGTGTCATAACTGTGTGTCGGGTCGTTTCCAAAGACGCTTTCAAGTCTTTGTGATTTAGTTCTTCCGGGAATGAAGTGGAACAATTTACATAACGAAGTTCTACTGGTCCGTGTAGTAGATCGTCGTATCCCCGGGCCTGGGTTTGTCGTCGAGTGTATGCCATGTAAATGTACATGTTGAACACGGTGTTGTGTGAAGCTCAGCCTCCGGTACAGAGTACACATAGCCAATGATCTTGCAACTCACCCTACAGTCTTGGGCGAAGCGGTTAAATAGCATGCCCAGAAGGTCCATAATTTCATCCTGATATGAGAAATGTGTTTTCACATGAAATCTAGAGTTTAAGTATGCTCTTGACGACGTCAGAAGCACCCTGCGGTGTGTCGTTGAGATTCTTCCACCACCCGTAGTTTACTACCGTGTACCGTGGTCCATTGTTTGCACTCATACTCATAGACGTGCAGTTATATGGTTGCATAATCACGTCATGTACATGTACATGTATGTCCATTGCTATTGCCTTGGCACTAGCTTGTACTACCGGTGAGTAAATCGTTGCCCAACTTATTCGCCAGACGAGAACTGATGTCTTGAATAGCACGGCGTCGTGCAATGATATTGTGCAATGCCCATGGGAATTGCTGTATCGGACAGAGGTTTTGCTGACAGTCTATGCCCCTGGACTCGCAGAATATAGGTACATGACTCATTATTCTGCGAGTCTACACGTCTGTGGGCACATGGGTGCAAGCTTCCAGGGGTAGTTTATAAACTCCATCTCTGCCCGAGGATCGGGGCCTAATCCTTCTGGGGTCTAAGTTTTCCGGTGTGGACTACCAACACGTGGTAGATTGGTAGATGTTTCTTTTGACCAGACGTACGAGCTACTGAAGATGGCATCAACAAAATTACTACCAACACGGTTGCGACTGAAGCTGGTCACAATACTATGACAAACAGGTTTGCGCTTTAGCAGTGTTTGTGAGTATCGGATGTCACTGACGACTTGTGTACCACCCAGTCTGTCGTGCTTGCGCATGACGTTTGTTTGTACTCCTGTTGACGCCTACATGTATACATGTTGATCTACATGTACCGGTATGTACAATGTAGGTGTGTTCGGGGCTGACATCGAGGCGGGCTATGACTACGAGTGATCCTTGATCATGGCTCCTAGAGAGGAGTGGAATGAGGGAAAGCCAATGGCCTCAAGCGAAAGGGAGCAATCGACCACTATGAGTGTGTATGCTAGAATTGTTCGCATTTCTCAGCGTCATCCAG